CTTCGGCACCAGGTGGGCACCTGCTGTCCCACCCTCCTCCCATCCTCATACCCTGGATCAAAGACTTGGAGACAAGTCCATGTGGCTTCTTTCCCTGGCTTGGCCCCCCTCCAGCCTCCTCCCTCCCAGACAGGGGATGCTGCTTCTCCCCCCTTACCCTTCCCCACACACCCCCATCTCCCCCCCTCTGTTTTCCTCCCTGGAGCCATAGGCAGGTGCACACACCTCTGCTTTCCCACCGCCCTGCGCTGCTCAGGGCTGGGCTGCTGCCAGAGAGGGATGTGCTGCCTCTCGCCTGGCCTGGCCATCACCTGAGGGCATGGAAAGGGGAGGTGGGCGTGCTGAGTTTATGGATCAGAATGGGGCTGCATTGCCGGCGCCGGGCAGTGCAAAGCCCTGGGATCACGCTCCCATGTGCTCCCTTTGCAGAGGGACCCAAGCCCTGCACTGATCTGGGCACCCTGGGATAGGGATCTCTGCAAAGCGGGACCCCAGCTCCGGGCTTCTTGCCCAACACAGCAGGACAGGAGGGCATGGTGGTGCTGCTCCTGCTGGCTTTGCCTTTCTCCACACTCGTGGCTCTGCAGCTCATGGTGCTGGTGCAGCAGGGATGGAACTGCAGCTCTGAGCTCTCCTGTTCAGGTGCTGCATCCACAGGGCATAGGCAAAGCCCAGCACGTCCCAGTCCCTCCTCGTGCAAAGAGCCCTTCCTCCACTCAGCCACGACCTGGCAGCAAAGGCAGCGTTTCACTCCTATGTCAACATTTGGAATTAAAAAGGGAGAAAATAGTCATTTCTGTCAAACCCTGGGAATGTGGATGTCCCACAAACAAACAGAAGCTCTGTTTCTGCACTGAAAGACCGTTTTAAATCTGGTTGGCAGCCAAAAAGTGATAAAAATGATTGCTGTTCCGGCACTAGAGAAGAGTTCTGTTGGAAATGTCACCCCCCCACACACCCTCCCCCCAAATCTCACTGTTATGAAAACACCATTTTTTATCAGGAGGCCGGCAGGCAGATGTTTGGCTCAGACCCCACCGGAGCCAGATGCACCCAAACCATCACCATTCCCAGCCCCCTCCGTGTCACCGTCTGATGGACAGCTGTCAGTCACCACTCATGGGCTTTTCTATGGGCATTCACCCACACAGGGGTCTCCCCATCATCTTGCAGCAAAGTGGCGAGTGCCCTTGATGGGGCATTGAGGGATGGCTGCAGTGGTTGTGGTGGGGGATCAGGAGACAGATGGCTGAGATGGGGGATCAGGACAGAAGTGTCACAGCTCTGCTGGGCCCAGCCATGCTGGGCTGCTGTGTGGTAGCTGCCTCCAGAGAGCGTGGAAGGGAGGATGCTCTCCTGCACGCATGGTGCTTTAAGGAGGGCACAGGGAAGGGAGGGTGTTGTGTCACTACGAGCCAGGCTTGTTGGGGCTCGTCTCCTGTTTATTTATGAACGGTGGCAGGTTTCCAGCAAGCTGTTTTCATGGTGTAACATTAAACTCCCAACCTTTTGTTCCTAGGTATCGCCCAGCTCAGGTATAACAGCTCCAGCCAGGACAGCATCGAGCCCTCCAGTGGGGTAGGACAGGGGCAGAGGACAGCTCAGCAACATGCAAAAGCACAAGGAGAGCTCCAAACATCCCCTGTGATGGCACTGACACGGATGGTTGGGGCTTTCCGTGATGATCCTGCATTTGGCTCACCCTCGCCCTGGGGCAGCGCAGTGCTGGTGGGGACATGGGACGTACCAGACATGCAGCCAAAGGCCATGCCAGCCACGGGGTTGGGCACTGCTGGCATTGCTTGTGATGCTTGCAAGGAGAACACGGATGGGCTGCTGATCTCACCTTGCTCAATCCGCGGCTGTGCAATTCAGGGCACGTGCCCAGGCGCAGCGCTGCCCTGTGCCGCCGCTCCACGGGATGAAAATCCCACGGTGTGAGGCTCCTCCTGCATGGAGCGGGCAGGTGGAGCGCCTGGAGGCACCATTCCCATCCCAAACCACACGTGTCCCTGCTTCGAGATGGAGGCGAGAGCAAAACCTGCGGCGCTGAGCGGAAACACGCGTTTGCTGGGAGCGCTGGAGGCAAAGAGTGCGTGTTGAGCTTCTAAGGCGTGTGGCTTTTGCTTTTGCACACGCAGACAAAAATAACAACAGGAAACACAGGCAGGCTCCCAATTAATTGATAGCGCACCCCATTCCCCGGGTGGATCTGCATCCCTGTTTCTGGGCTGCCTGAAGGCTCTCCTTGCCCCAAGCAGCCGCTCTTCAAGGAAATTGATTTTCAAGCAGGCTGCGCCTTTTTTGTTCGATTCCTTCAGGCTGTGGCTCAGTCTCACTTTTGTTTAGGAAAAATACCATTTTTTACAATTGCAGCTTCACTTAGAAAAGTCACATAGGCCTGGACCAGCAGAAAGGGCTCTTCTCCAAAGTGCTGAGCTTTGTCCTTCGTGTTTTTCTCTCCCCTTAGAGAGCGTGGAGGGACACAGGGCCATGATGGGGACCTGACCCAGAGCTCCTGCCCGCACCAAACCCTGCACGAGGCAGCATGCAGTGCTCCTTGGCTGCAGCAGGGAGCTGGCTTATGCCCGGACATGTACCACAACCTGTTGGGAGACGAGGGCTGGTTGCTGTTCTGCAGCACTGGAGAGAGTAGTAGAATGCAATGCTCGGAGCATCTCTACAAGGATCGGGTTGGAAGGATCAGAATTAAGGGTTATTTCATTGCCTGTTTAAAAGCAACACATGTGAGTTGCCTCTGCTGCATCTTCCATCTCCTGCAGCTGGTCTTCAGCTGCACCCCAGCTGATCCCAGCTCCGAGCTGTCACAGAATCACACAGAATCACAGAATTGTAGGGGTTGGAAGGCACCTCCAGAGATCATCGAGTCCAACCCCCAAATGTCTCCCTTCAGGTGAGCTCATTAGTGTTGCTGTGAGTTTGACTATGTCCCTGACTATGGAGATGGATAGACACTGCCAGGGTGATTCTGCTGGTGGAGCTTTGCTTATTTCCTTCCCAACTGGCCACTCTGGGGGGCCCAGCCCAACCCATTGCTCTACCATGGGCAATGCACTGCCTGCAGGGCTATGCCTGCTGCCGGCCACGGGGGAGGAGTGTGGGCATCATCCGGCCCCTGGTCACCCATGGGCAGCTCCATGCCCAACATGTGCATGCAAGCCCGAGCTGAGCAACTTGCCACGTGGAGAGATGGAGGAACCCAAAAATCCCAACTTCACCATAAAAATATCAATCATCTCTAAACATCCGTGCGCCGCTGATCCTTCTCTCCCTGCTCGGTATTTTCTCACGCTCTGAAGCTGGCAGCAGGCACTGGGAAGCAGTGTTGGAACTTGTCCTGCTGTCCCATCAAGGCTGGTTATCTCCAGCATCGAGCCCTACAGCTGGAAGGGCTGCAAGTAGGGGCAAGGCACGCTCCTGCTTGCCGCTTTCCATTGCGTCACTTGGACGAGAACTGAGTGAATGCCCCAGGGCCAGATCCCACACACAGCACCTTGCCTGGTCCTGCACAACACAGCAGGTCCTGGCAGCCCCATGCTACCAGGACGCAGGGACCCTAATGATGCCCTCGAGCATCACTGGGAGCCCTCCCTCACCTTCCCTTCCCGACAGCTTGCATGGAGCTGGTGTATGTCCAGCTTCCCAAAAGTCATCGTGTCTAAGGGCTGCACCCTTGGATATGATTTCTGCTTCCTGGTGGGGATGAGGAAGCCTCTTGGCAACCACCTTTGGGGAAGAGCATGGCCAGAGCTCCCACCAGGGCAGTGGAGACAGGAAGGGATTGTCACCCTTCCAGGGACAGCTGCGTTGGTAGGAGACAGGGAGGCACCTGTCCACAGCATGCAAGGCACAGCCCAACATGGTGTGCTCAGTGTGGGATCCTGCTCGGAGTGAGCCTGCTTAATTAAAGTAATTACGAGGCAAGTTGCTCCCTTGCCCCTCCCTTGCCTGTTCCTCCATGAACCAATGGGTTTGAAAACCCAGCTGGCTCCATGCTCTCCTCCTACTGCGGCACTGCAGCCTCTGTGAACAGCAGCCTGCAGAGCTCATGCTGTGGCCTCCGTGGGCTCCTCGCTTGTACCAGCACGTGGCCAGAATGGCATAACATGGCACAGTACGTACAGTTTCACTTGGCATGGCACAGAACAGCACATCACATGATGGGATAGCACACTGTGGGATGGCACAGCATGGCAGGGCAGAGCCACGGGCATTAGGTGGGTCAGTGCAGCCCGGGGGAGGGCAGACCTTGGGCTCACATTCTCCATCACAAGGAGTTCAGTGCCCAGCGCTGGTTTCCTGCCTGGCCCACATTGCCACCAGAGGTTGTGGAGATCATCGTGTGATCATTGCTGTCACCAGCACTACAAGACCCACATCCCTGATCCTTGCCACCTCTTTCTGTGTCTCAGGACAGGGACATGGCCCAGCCCGTGGCTCTGCTGTCGGACCTGGGAGCTGTAGGGCATGGAGGTGCCTGCTGGATTGAGCTCCCTTTTCCCCAAGAAGAGGAGGAGAGCAGCGAAGCAGAAAACCAGCGAGCTTCCTACATACCCAAAGGGTTTCTCCTGTGTGGATGATCTGCTGTCTAATAAGAGCCTGAGCTCCCCTTTGCAGTCTGAGGTGACACCAGCAGCAACACCGTCACCTCTCCGACCTCATGTTATGCCACCTATGTACACAGCAGTCACTGGCAGAGGCTCCTCTGAGGCCATTTCTCAATTTGTCTTTGGCCAGCACAGTGCTTGCTCTTCTAACAGACAAAATAGTTTTGTTTCACGTCCCCCAGGCCACGGTCACTCAGTGGGTTTGCAGTGGGACAGCCTTTCCCATCCTTAGAAACGGCCGAGTGCTGTAAAAAAAATCCTCTAAGTGGTATGAAAAAAAAGAAAGAAAAAAAGGCAAAGCTGCAGATGTTTGTTTACTCCCAATAATTTCCCGTTTTGGTCATTTCCCGGCTCACTCGGGTGGGAGCCTCTACAAGCAGCATCACATCCGTGCCGGGCTGTGCTGCACTGCAGCGCGGGGTGAGGAGCGCGGGATGCAGGGAGCAGAGATCTGCTGGGCAGGAAGGATGAGAAGCCAACAAAATCAGGCTGTGCTGATGGCAAGGAACCAAACGTCCCCCTGCGCCCTGACCTTCATTGTGTGGGGAAGGAGGGAGAGCTGCCACTGAGAAAACGTGATAAGGATGGCCAGCAGGATGGGCAGCCGGCGACGCGGTTTTGTGCTGCGTGTGCATGCAGTCGGCTGGGGATCGCGTGCGGCGAGCTTGGCTGCGCTCAGCAGAGCGGTGAGTGCTGGGTGCTGCAGCAGCTGGGGGTGCATCACTGCATCCTGCAATTCTGCAGCTGGGAGAGGGGCTGGAGGAGACGCAGAGCTGCTGGAGGAGGCAGGAGTGGGGAGCGGAGGGGAGATGCTGAGCTGGAGGGCACGGCTGTCTGCAGTGGCTCTGCCCCTTCCCCAGAACGGGGGAACCCAGGAGGTTCTTTCTCTCAGGTGGGAGGCTGCCCCACACCCAGCCACGGGCTGCACTGCCAGCTCGGGGGGTAGGAATGGAAGCAGGGAGCCAAGAGGTGTCCCCTCCCCGAGGGCTGTGCCTGCACAGCACACAGCACAATTAGGGCCGAGGTTTAACTGAGTGCGCTAATTTGACATCTGGCGATTTGATCGGGCTGAAGAAACTGTTTACATTCACCTTCCACTATGTTTGGTTTGCGATAGCAGCAGAACAGAAGGCGATGCTGCGGGTGTCCTGTTCTCAGAGCTTTTATGGGGGTTTCCTATGAGAAAAGCAGAGATAGGGCTGAGCCTGGCAGCCGCCCATCCAGGCCTTTTTCTCCCAATTTTTATTTCTCTCCATTTAGCCTTTGCCTCATCTCAAATAAAAAGAGTGATTTAAAACTCTTCGCAATAAAACAGTTTAAACAGAAGTCAGTCCGGAGCGCTGCATAACAGGGGAGAAGGCTTGTGTTATTTACTTAATTACAGGCTGATGTTTGTCAAGTACTTGTGGGTGAATTGCTTGCAAATAACAGGTGAGTTTACTCATGCTCGGAGCCCTGAGCCCTGAGATTACAGCTGGGTGTGGAGGCAGGAGGGTGCTGGGGCTGCGGGTGGCCTCCAGCAAATCCCTGTTGCTGGGGCTGGATGGTGTGGTTGGGGTGCTGAGCCCCTCGGGGGTCATTTGTCTGGTCTCAGACACACAGCAGCTTCTCCTTTTGTAACCTACAGATCAGACTTAACTATTTATGGAGTCACTTTGGAAAACGTAGCACATCAATAGGAGAGAGCGGAGGCTGCTTTGGAGTGCCTGGATTTTTGGTGCTTGGCTTGCAGATGCATCCTGACCTCCTGGAGGTCTCTGGGGCTCTAAAAGGGCACCTGAAGCTGCTGAGAGTGGAAATGGCTGCCAGGTGCTTGGCTAATGCAATGGAGAGCATAGGTGGGTCCTGCCTTCCACGTTCATGGAATTGGGAATGGGCCACAGCTGGTCCCAGCCATTTTTGTGACATCCCAACACCCAGGCATGGGCACCTCTCCTTTGTGTCCAGGCTAATGGAAACCACAGCTGCCCTGCGTGCACAGAGCAGGGAACACAGTTTCAGCAGAAAAAACAACGTGCAGGAGTTAAAAACAGTCCCTGCTGCCACTTCTTCCCTCATCACAGGACACTGAGAGCAAAAACCCAGCTGCTCGGGTGAAGGAGCATTCCCAAAGCTTCGCCAGCAAGTGAAGACATCTGAAATGGAGACAGAGACCAAAGCGATGAGGAGTACATCAAAGACAAGAGCTCCATCTCCACCTCTCACCCTGCTCAACCCCATGGACACGTGGCTGTGTGCAGCACGAGGGGTGAAGGAGCTGCCCACTGTGCACCTGGTGCAGGTGCTGGGCTGAGAGCAGAGGGGAGCTGCCCCGACACGGGGTGATTCAGATCCGAATCACGCAGCGCCCACTGCACTCCACCAGAGCTCTCGACTTGCTGCTTCGCCCGCGCTTGCACACTGTGCTGGGGCTGACAGGGAGCCGGCACGGAGCCACGGGTGATCCCTCACTGTGATCCGGAGTGTGGGAAAAACGCAATCGCTGCAAACAATCAGAGGCAAAGCCAGCAGCAGCACGCAGAGAGGAATTCGGAGGCGCATTCCAGCAGGGATGACAGAGAAGGGGCTGGGAGCTCAAAAAAGAAACGTGCTGTGATTTGTTTTGTTTTGCTTTTTTCCCCCCCTCTCTGCAGCACCATCACACCCTGCTCGGCTTTCGAGTAAAGCTGCTGCATGCTGCAGAGTGGCACAGCAGGCAGCGGGGAGCCGGAGCGTTCTGTGTCTCCAGCAGAGCAATGGAAGAGCACCTCTCTGCACCTTCCAGGCCTACAAAAGCCTACAAAGAGCAGTTCTGGGCACGTGGACTGCAGGCAGGACTGCTGGCAATGGGAGGTGTGGTGGCCACCAGCCCGGTGTCACCGCTACTCAAGGCAGCAGATCCCCTGCACAAAGCATGCTGCCTTCCCAGCTCCTCCTGACCCACTTTCCACATGGCACAATTAAAGCAAAGCAAAACAGAGCAGGAGGAGGGGACTCTGCAGGGCTGGCACAGGCGTTGTGTGGGGACCAGCACAGGCCAACACACAGGGCAAAGAGCACAGAAGTTCCAGAGAGCACAACCACGACTTGGGCACAAATTTACAGCTCCTCCTCAGTGCCCACCTCCCTGCCACCAGCCCTCTTCTCACAGGGGTGCCTGATGGGCAGAGGGTCCTTCAGTGGCACGAGTAAGGGATAATTGTGAGAGGTGCAGGGTGCCTGGTGCTGTATTTCACTCATTGCTTCAGGCAGAGCAGCCATCCGGGAGCTAAAAGCATTCAATTGTTCACTGATGCTTTTCTTTGAAGCCCGCATTCATCCTCCAAGGTCTGTATTGATTGGGGACTCCAGGAAAGCATCTGCCCTTCTCTGCCTTCATCAATGACTTTCCCACATTAATCCACCTCTTCCCTTGATAACCACACTAATTACTCTCAGCTAAGTTGACTCTGGCAGATCACAGGAGGATGAGAAGAGCAACCTGCTCTGCAGCCAGGCTGTGCCTTAAAGCTGCAGATTCCTGCCCTGGAGTGGCCCATTGCCCCAGAGAGAACTGGTTGCACTGGGAGTGTGAGCACCGTGCCATGGGGCTGGCAGTAGGGCAGCACTAAAATCCACCAGGGCCACTTTGGGGATGCATGCAGCTGAGTGAAGGGGTTTGCTTTCCACCTGGGGAGCTTCTGTGCTCCAAGGGAATCACCAATGGTTTCACGTGGATGGGGACAGCAGACCCTGGCCCACTGGGTGCACATCCACACCCCCTGCATCCAACAAGGCTCAGGTGCTATGAATGAAGGGCTTCCCGTTGTGCTGCAGGGTGTTTTAGATCACCCCACAGGTTCACACCCTCCAGCCTGGGGTGGTCAAGGATTGAAATAAGTTACCTTTCACTTCTTCACCTGGGTTTCCTTGAAGGGGGAACAAGATGTGCAGATCTCTGAGCTCTTCCATTCTCAACCACAGCAAGATGGCATCAAGAATGGCAAACTTATCTAGCTGTGCATGTCCCTGTTCATTGCAGGGGAGTTGGACTAGATGACCTTTAAAGGTCCCTTCCAACTCTAAGGATTCCATGATCTCCAAAACGTATTTCCAAGAACAGAAGCAGCCCTGCAGGGATGGACTGTGCAACAGGAAGGAAGGCTGGGTGGGATGGGGGGGAGGTGGAGATGGTGACAGTGAGGCACATTCAGATGTCCCATTGCCTTCCACATCTCGACCTGTGCACCCGGAATAGGAGTGGTCAGAAACACGACAAAGTGATGTGGCAAATGGGTGTGAAACCCTGAGAAATTCTACTCCTGTCCCATACCTGCTGCCTTCACTTGGAAAGATGTAGTAAATTTAAAAGTGTGTCAATCTAGCAAGGGGAGGGAATTTTATTGTGACACAAGTCAGCTCCTGAGCCAGAAGATAACAGCTTTAGGGCTCCCATGGAAAAAGCTTCCCTGGATCTTCTGACCCAAAGCCCATCTTTCCATTTCTCTCCAGAAAACAGCATTTTGCTCATGATGTTAACGTACACCGCAGGAACTCAGCAGTCCAGCAGGTGAGAGCAGCCTCTATTGCTCTGATATTCAGAGCCTCCTGTCCTTTTCCTCACCTGGAAGAAAAAGTAGCTCTTCAGGCTGCAATAAACTCAGACTTGAAATTAAAAAAGAGCAGAAGCAAAGCTTGCAGAAAAGAGAACCATGAGTACATGCAAGGAGTCCTGGGGCCTTAAAATGGCTGCTGAGCTGGTGGTGATGAGGGACAGCCCCATCAGGTGAGGCTGCAGTAAGCAGGGAAGCCTCCTACCCCTGTGCACGAGGTCTCTCATGTCTTTGTTTAGATTGCAACACAGGCTCCTCTTGTCCATCCCTGCCTGCCATCTGCTGCCCTGGGCAATGGAGGGGGCACCCCGTGCCAGGGGAAACACCCAGCAGCGTGGGGTCCCTGTGGGGTCTGGAGGTCCCCGTGGTTGGATGGAGGGCGCTGTGCCCCATAGAAGCCTGTGGGGCTGGGCAGGGTGAGTGCTCCCCTCCATGCTGCTGTCACCATGGCAGTGTGGGTCTTGCTGCCTTCACGACCTGGTGCAAAGCACTGCTCTGCACCTAAACTGGCTGGGAATCACGGCTGGGGCGACCCCACACGTCCTCATTCTCCTCAAAGAGGCTGCAGGGTACATGACCCAGCCCCACATGCACCCCTCTGCCCCCAGGTTTCTTGCCCCATACTGGTGCTTATGGAAACACGGGGTGACCGTGGAAGTCACAAAAGCCCCTCGAGAAGCCCTATAAGGACAAGGGAAGCCCCCCAGCAGCCCCATGGGGCTTAGCCCCTTCAGCTGCCCCCCAAACTGGTCCCACCAGCCCTGGAGGCCATTCCTGAGGCACTGTCGCCATCTAGCGACACGCACCGGGTCGCCCGCAGGACGCTGGTGATCCCACGCCCGTCGCTGCCCCCATCATCTGCCAGCCCTTGAAGGGGCGAGGGGCTGTGAGGGCAGAGCTGGAGATGGGCAGAAGGGAATGGAGTTCTATGGGTGACACAGAATCATTAAGGTAGGAAAAGACCTCTAAGACCCCCAGGTCCAACCCCAACCCGTGCCCACGTCCCTCAGTGCCACACGCTCACCTTTCTGGAACACCACCAGGGACAAAGATCCCCCCCCTTCCCCTGGGCAGCCTGTGCAAATAATTCACCACTCTTTCAGATAAGAAACTCTTCCTAATATCCAGCCTGATATGATTGTGTGGTTGTCCCATGCCATCAGTACATCTTTAACTCCTCAAACATCTGAATTTTGCCTCCACCTCTGAACATGGAACAAAAGCGTTGGCCATCCCAGCAGCTGCAGGGGATCCAGCTCCCCATCTCCCTCCTCCACCTTCCTCTCACTGGCTGCTCAGAAAAGGGATTGAGCCTTGCCTGCCACATGTGAAAAGCCCCTGCCTCCCTTGTGTTTTGTGAAGGAAAATCTCCCTGGGAGAGCAGCCAAACGTTCCCAGCCTCCCACTGGGTGTCTCAGAATGCTGGGGCCATGGCAGCCCTGAGGGTCCAGGGGGAGCATGTCAGAGATGCTGGAGGGTGAGACAAGAACATCATTGCTTTGCATCAGTAGCCAGAGCCTGCACTGTGTCTGTTGCCTCAAGAGATGGAGTGTCACCACTGGGCTGGGAGTGCTGAGCCCCACGTACATCCCACCATCAGAGACATGTGGGTTCAGCTGTGAGCTGGACATTGGCTGTGCCTGCAGGCACTGGGAAGGGTCCCATCCCCCCAGCACGAGATGGGCTCTGTGCTGTGCCATGCTGGGTCTGCGCCACATCTGGCTCCATTTCCTCCTTTACCATCACCAAGCTTTTCCCCTCCTTTTCTTTTTGCTGTTTCCGTGTGGTTTTCTCCCTCACCTCCTTTGGACCACAACCTCATGCACTGGAGACCTTTCAGACCCAACAACTCTTTCAAACACACCCAGGAGAGCCCCAGGGCTCCATCCTGCCAAATCAAACTTAAATTTGCAGCTGCTATGCAAACATAATAGTTGTGTATGCGGGGGCTCTGCTGGCACGCAGAGCAAATAAACAGTAACACATGGCAGAGCCTAGAAGAGCAATAACCTCTGCTGCAGCTAAGCCTTGAGGCCAGGAGCTGGAGTTTGCAGAGGGCTTTCAAAGAGCAGCACCCAAAGTGAATTAAGCACACCTGACCACTGCTGCATTGCACACTGCTGTCCTGAGCCCTCAGCAGCAGTAGCAGGGCTGCTCTGAGCAACAAATGGGTGTTCGTAGATTGTAGCTGCACTAAAAAACACACAAAGTTCAGACAGGGTCAGGCCCAAAGACAACTTTCCTGATGTATTTCCTTCTCGGATTCACTTTGCTCACATGCTCCACGTGAAGTGAGAACTCCCCCTTACTTACTAGAGGTCATTTAATAGCCATCAAAACTTTTTTTTCCTTCCCTCCTTCTCTCTCTTTAAGCTGGGACCATCAGAGAACTCGCCACTTCCCAGAGCACATTTCGTGTCTGAAAATGATGAAACAAACCATCTGGCAGCTCCAAAAAGAATCTTTTCATTGGCAGGCACTGATGCAAAGCACTCCAATGTTTATATTCCATCTATCTTTCTTCCCCTTCCTACACGAAAGCCACAGCCTCAACCCAACCTGCCTACGAAGGCACCCCAGTCATTGCCAGACACTGAATTTATTCGTCTGGCTGAGCAATGTGCTCCCAAAGCACTCAGCTCTGCAGCTCTCCCACTCCACCTTCCTGTCACCCAGTGGTGCTGCTTCTCTTTGCTCCGTGCATCTCCCCCTTGAAGCTTTCCCAAAATGTGACCAGTGTAGGAGCGCTCCTGAAGCTGAGAACAACGCCTAAAAAGCCCTCTGACCCCCTCAGCACTCTCCTCCCACAGCCCAGGCATTGTGGGTTTGCTGCGATCCCCAAAGCCCTCATCCATTTTCTGATACCAGCAGCTCTAAGGAGTGCACCAGTGGCCGCAGCGGGGTGTGCTTCTCCTTCCTAAGCATGCAGGCAGACACAGGCCATGAGTACAGGCAGCATTCCCCCCCCCCCCACAACTGCACGTTCCCAGCCCTCAGCCTTGCTTCCTCCTCCCCATCACATCTA